CCCCCCCCCCCCCCCCCCCACCTTCGTCCTCCCACTCTCTTTCGCAAAGCATTTCTGGGCTCCATGTACGACTGATAGAATCTGGTGTCTTTTAATAATACGGTAATATATTGTCACAAGTCACAAAGTTGTCAGAGCGCCAAAGCGACAAAAACAACAAAAAAGATATCAATTCAGTTTTTATATGATTTTTTTCTCCCCCTTTTAATCGGGAGGAAGAAAAGGAAAAAATAGTCGAACTGTTAATCGCGATCAGAAACACACAAAAAAGTTGAAAAACCAGAATGCACACTCACGCTCGCTATATATATATATATATATTTTGTGATACGTTGATCTGTGGGATGTGTTATTTGCTTTGTGATAATTGGATTATCTTTCTTTCCCTGTCAGGTTTGGTTTCCTCCTCCCTTTCTTTACCTCTTTGCCTTTTGGCTGTGTGCAAGTGGGTCCTTGTGACACACGGGGATGGGGGCAGCCAGCGCTCAACCTGTCATCCACGTGGCTGGCCTTGTGCGTAAGAGGTTATGAACAGGTGGAGCTTTCCTTACCTCTTCCCCTTCCCCTTTTTTCCTTTTCCTTTTTTCTTTCCCCTTTTGTGCGCTCTGATTCACAATGTGACAATATATATATATATTTCTCTCTCTGCCTACGGTTTACCGGGCAGTTCTGTTTGTGACGATATATGACGATATATATATATATATCTATGGGCAGCCGCCGCTCAACCTACATCCACGTGGGCGGCCTTGTACAAGGTTCTGAACAAGGGGAGTCTTGTAAGGAAGAATAAAAATGAATTGATACCTTTTTTGTTTCCTTTTGTTTTTTTTCGCTATTGCGCTCTGATATTCATGTGACAACATACGTGGCCGGCCTTGTACGTAAGAGGTGATGAACAGGCGGACCTTTCCTTCGTTAACGCCTTTCCATTTTCTGTTTTTTTTTTTTTTCGCCTTTGCGCTCCGATTCACAATGTGACAATAGATATATATATATATAAAATCGGGACACCCACAAATTGCAAATTGTTGAAATACAGACCTGTGCTCGAATCCAGATGATGGAAATAGACGAACGAAATCCGTGAAGTACCTTGGGCCGATCAGTTTCACGATTATATCTCAAGGCTGGCGCTCTGTCGGGAAGAAAAGAGCAAAAGGAGGAAACAAGTTACGCTAAAAAAAATAAAAAATGAAAAATAAAAAATAAAAAATAAAAAATAATAGTATAATACGCCATGAACTGGATTAAAAAAAAAAGGGGGGGGGGAAAGGAAAAGTAAAGAAAATAAAAAAGAAGAAAAAACAAGAAACGAAAAGGAAAAGAAAAAAAGAAGAGCGCTATGGATGAGGAAGGACTTCACTAATTATTCTGCTTCTCCTTAGGTCTTATTTTTTTCTGACTTTCCCATCGTTTTTACTGTTTTAATTTTTTTTTAAGAATGCACCTTGACTTTTGTTTTCCCCTCCGTCTCTCTTTTTTTTTTTTTTTTTTTTCACCCTCGTGTAATAAATATCGAACTTCATATGGGTGTTGTTTTGTATTGCTCTTTTTTATTTTTTTTCCCCCCGTGACCCGTCGATGATTTTTTTTGTTTTTTTTGTTTTTTCATCACCCGTCGATGAATCACTGCCCTTCAGGTCTTTTAGCATTATCGGAAAATCGTGTTTTAATTGTTTGGGGTGTAATTACTTTGTTTGGTCTAGTAAAGGGCATAATACCGTAATACTTGTATACTTTTAAAATATTCCTCGATGTATTTCGCCGGATTCGCCGCCTGATTCAATCAAAAGTGCCCTTGTTGTCATTACGCGCGTTAGGTTTTCTCGATCTGCTGGTTTGTTGGTGTCCACAGTCGTGGATGCTACTTTACGTTCCCCTTTTTTGTGCTGTTTTGTTAACTTTACGTTCTACTCTACTCTATTCTCTCCTCTCCTCTCTAGTCCCTATATTTACTCTCTCCTCTCTCCTCTCTCCTCTCTCCTGTCTCCTCTCTACTCTCTCCTCTCTACTCTCCAGTCTTTGATCTAACTCTACTTCGCACCTTTTTTATTTATTTATAATAAAGGCCGAAGGCCTTGAGATATCTTTTCTTTTTTTTAATAAAGGCCGAAGGCCTTGAGATAT